ACTTAGCGAAGCACAGTGGATCCTCGGCTAACGAAAGCATCATCTAAGGTTAAATCCACCTAACTAAGCATTTGAGCGTAAAAATTTTGGCCCGGCCAATGATAAAAAACTCACCCAACGTGATTCGTCCTGAACCTGTCCATCCATCCTGAGCGCCTCAGCTGCCCTGCCATCATTGTTTACAAGCCAGGGTGGCTGGTTCCACGCATACATTCAATACATTTTGTATTATTCCATTGTTTTTAGTGTTGTAACTGCTAAATAAGCCACCATGGGCCCAGAGAAAGCTTCTAGTGCCAACCCTGTGGTAAAAAGGGTAAGAAATACTATTATACCACGGTCAGCTGCTGCTGCTGCACAACCATCAGCTGTTGCTCCACCACCATCAGCTGTACTACTCGAAGATGTGGAGAGAGTGTTGTTGGTGTGGCTTAACGAGAAACAATTACTGAGAAACAATTAACCCCAGAGGGTTAGCCACCCAGGATAACCCAAGAAAGTCAGTGAGTCATTGAGGACTGTCTAACTTATTTCCATTGGGTTCCTTGATCTTGTCCCCCAGGATGCGACCCACACCAGTCGACTAACACCCAGGTGAACAGGAAAAAATGCCTGGAACTAGTGCTCATATTGGTGAATTTAAGGCCAGCAAAGGTTGATTTGAGAGGTTTAAGAATCGTAGTGGCATACACAGTGCGATAAGTCATGGCGAAGCTGAAAAATTCCAACCCCAACAAGTGTTCAATTGTGACAAAACAGGCCTGTTCTGGAAGAAAATGCCAAACAGGACCTACATTACTCAGGAAAAGGCACTCCCAGGACACAAGCCTATGAAAGACAGGCTAACTTTCTTGTTTTCTTGTAATGCTAGTGCGGATTGCAAAGTGAAGCCTTTACTCATGTATCACTCTGAAAATCACAGTGTTCAAGAAAAAGTGTCTCATCACTGACCAGTACTCTTCAATAAAGGTAAGTGTCATTTTAACATTTATTTATATAGTTATTGTGCATGTCTCATTGTTTTTCTTTGTAGGGAAATGTATATTTCATGAAAAAAAAAATTTTTTTTTTAATACTTTTGGCTGTCTGGAACAGATTAATTGGATTTCCATTATTTCTTATGGGGAAAATTAATTTGGCTAACGATAATTTCGTCTGTCAATGAGCTCTCTGGAACGGATTAATATCGTTAGCCGAGGGTCCGCTGTACTTGTTTACCAACGATTCGGACATACGATGGGCTCTCTGACCAATATGCATACCTAAATAATGTATATTAGAGCTGATTTCTTCTTTTCTGTTTACTACAGTATACAGTGCACTACTGTATAAACATTTAAAAATATACTAAAAATTTTATAAATGGTGCAATGATGACATTAAAACAAGATCAAAGATGGTTGACACAAACCCACTAGTATGCTCCTTGCTTAGTGACGAATTCGTTTACCGACGTGATTTTGGGAACGGAACTCCATGATTAAGTGAGGAGAGGCTGTATTAACCCCTTGACTGTCGCAACCCCCAATCCTGAGGTGTCTCTTGGCGTTGCAAAATTTCAAAAAAACAAAAAAAAAAATTTTTCTTATGAAATGATAGAGAATCTTTTCCCGATTGTAATGACACCAAAAAAAAAAATATTTGATGGAAAACTGACGGAATTACGCTCTCGTGAAGTTAGCGACCTTGACGATATTTACAAATCGGCATTTCGCCCACTTTGAGCCCTATTTTCGGCTAATTCCTTTGTTTCAGTCGACCAAACTCATAGCTATTTCTTTAGAACTCCATTTTTTCTATCAATTGAGTACAAGAAACTGCCCATTTACCAATTTCAACTACCCAATAACGTGGTCAGAAATTTGTAATTTGGCTAATTTCACCAAAATTAAAAAATATGACAATTTCAAAATAAGGTCCAGAATCAACAATGCAGACATTCCTGGCTCTAAAATAACATTTTCTTTGTTCATCAGTCATGTCTCCAGGCCCCTCTGATATTACTCTTGCTTTCTATTTTGAATTTTTATTCAAACAAAAAATAGAAAATATACTATTATGCAGACTACTCCAATACTGTAATAATTGTATAAATAACATCAGCTCATTCATGACTGCATATTAGAATGGCTAGTTGAACATTTATTGGACAATGATATGATTAGTTTACTTTTGAACATCGGCAAAAATCAAACATTTCCCCTACTTTGAGCTCTATTTCCAGGTTTTTTTTTTTATAGTAGAATCAATCAAAATCATCTCTTTTTCTATAATATGTTTTCCATTCTATCAAATGAGACCAAGACAACGAGAATACAACCATAAATACTATACGAAAATAGACCACAAATTCGGCATTTTAATTAAAAAAAGTCGTTTTTTTTTTCTCATTATGCACTGCGTGCTCCAGGATTTTTTTTATGTGGTGCACACTGACCACACAGACCCATTCTCTCACATGTGGGCCTACCAACTTTCTCCTTCTTGATTTGAAGCCGCTAGAATTTGAGTATATATACGTCAAACACGGTACCTCGTAAGACGTATATACAGTGGACCCCCGCATAACGATTACCTCCGAATGCGACCAATTATGTAAGTGTATTTATGTAAGTGCGTTTGTACGTGTATGTTTGGGGGTCTGAAATGGACTAATCTACTTCACAATATTCCTTATGGGAATAAATTCGGTCAGTACTGGCACTTGAACATACTTATGGAGTGAAAAAATATCGTTAACCGGGGGTCCACTGTATATGGCCGCGACAGTCAAAGGGTTAATAAATTTATTAAAGTAAAGAAATAAAATATAATATTTATTTCAATTGCATTTTCATTAGTAAAAATAACAGTATGTAGAAGAGGGTGATCAGAGGCTTGAGCATTTAGACTTGAACAACACTATCACCAACAGCAGCAAATCGTCACGTGCTAGTGTGTGTTTTACAAAATACGAGTGTATGAACTAAACTGATGCACAAATGTGTATACAGTAGGTACTGTATACACATTACATCCAGGCTGTTTTCATTTTTAGCCTTATTGGAAGATAAACAGAGGGTATATAAACTGGTTTAAGTCCCTCTCAAGGACAGGTGCAGTCTCTCTCAATTTGTATATAAACATTGTCTCCAGTATCCTTACATTTTAGCACTGATGATGCAAAGGATATGAAAACACTGCATGTATTGGCTGATGTGCAGGAATCGACTAATTCTTGTAATCACATTTGTTAGCTTTCTAGAGACCTCTTGGTGGTTAACAATTTATATATAAAAAGTGTATATTGTGGTGGCTCTCAGAACTTCAGACACAAACATTTATCATGGCAGTGCCACAAAATTATCCCTTCACTTTTTGTTTACTTACTGTACTTTCTTCACTTAATAGCCTTCATTAACACATTCAACATTTATGTAAATACAGCTAGGGTAAGTGAATGACTGTTAATGGCATAGCAGTGTGTAGTTACCATGAAATTAGCATTATAGCCTTCTTGTACAGGCTTTTAGCTATTTTATCCCTAAAGTTGCACCATCATAGTTGAATTTCACAATGATAAAAAATGTGGCAATTTTGCAATAATCGTACTTTGAAAATGTTTTGGAAGATCACGTATTAATCAACGGTCTATGTGTTCTCATGTGTAGTATTTATATATATCACACTGGCTGTCTTCCACCACGGTAGGGTGCCAGAGGCATGTAGATATTACAGTTCAGAAGCCATTGCAAAACTGCAAATATCCTCACCTCTCCTTTAGAGTGTAGGCATTGTACTTTCCACCTCTCCTTTTTAGTAATTTATACAATTATAGGAATGATTTTTTTTCACATTTCCCCATGGAAATGAAAGGGAATAAATAAGAGCAACTAGCAATCCAAAGCAAGTATACATTACTTTACAGACAGAAAATTACTTATCCTATATAAATACATGCACCCATTCAGCATGACAAAAGTGCTGGTATAATTATTGTCTTATTTTTTTAACAAAAAAAAATTCTTAGGCTATATTTTCACTACAATACAAATACATTTAATGACAAAGCTTTGTGATTTCAATGAATACTGTTTTCTCAATGTTGCCTCATGATTGTTTTTCCTGGCTTTGTACACTGTTGCTTGTGTGTTTTGTTTTTTTTGCCCTACTGCATTCATCTGCAAAGGTGTAACCATCGTCATTTTCCTACCTTATTATTTGTTAATTTTTGAAACTACTTAATTGTTGTCAGGTAAATGAGAACAATTATCTTAAAAAATATCAAACTTAGCTTTATTATTTAACACTTCAGTAAAACTGAGAGAGGGGATCACTCACACAAACCCATTGTCTGTGATACACACGCTGTAGTGGATACACCTGAAAATACTGTAGTGGTACACCTACCATCCGACTTATGACCGAGTTCGGTTCCGAGAAACCGGTCGTAAGTCGAAATGGTCGTAAGTTGAACTTTACTACTGAATATCAACAAAACATTTTTGTAATGACTTTATTTTATTGTTTTATTTTGGTATTTCATGTTTTACTTTACTTTTTATGCTGTTAGTACTGTATTTTATACTGTAAGGTTTAAGATAAACACTGTGTACAACACAAATAGTTGTTTATTTCCCAGAAATTTGGCATAAAAAACACGGTCGTAAGTCGAGTGGTCATAAGTCGAGCAGGTCGTAAGTCGGATGGTAGGTGTATATAAGAAGAAAAGCTTGTATGCTTCAAACTTGTTTGTAATTGAGATAAACCAGGCATCTCATATTTATTTACTAAATTAGAGTAAATAAATGGCATATACTATTCTTTTTACAGTATTTTGTTGAACAAGGTAGTGTTTATCAAATTATTTTAGGTAGTTTTTAATGGCATTGACAAATTATTTTTAATGTGGATATAATAATATCTGAATGTAAACAAGAATATTGTACTTTATTTGCTTATTAATAAGATCAGGAAATGTACTAAAAAAGCTTGATGCAGAATTTGTTTCAATTCAACAGGTATAGAACGAGAATTTCTCAGCGAAGGTGGGGACAAAGGTTGTAATAACCGCATCAAGAGTCCTCCTACACCATCACCTTTAGTGCAGCAGATTTTAGGAAGTGGAATGACTAAAGGATTTTTGTCAAACACCCCTCTTCAGTCACTCAGCCCAGAGGTACGGCAAGTAGTAGAACACTTGCCTGACTTAAGCTTCATGCAAAGTAAAGTGCTTATGTTTCCTATACGAGGAGAACAGTGAGAAGTGGCTTACAGTGAGTTCTAAACAAAAATTTAATTAAATAAAAAAAATGGTTGCAGTAGACATGGCAGGTATCACTTTTTTTTTTTTTTTTTTTTTTTTTTTTTTTTTTTTTTTGCATTTAGTGCCATGACACTACTATTAGAGCTTTTATTCAAACAGTATATTAAATTAAAAAGATTTAAATTAAAAAAACTTAGCAATTATATTGTAAGTTTAAGTCCTGTAAAAATAAGTACCTGTATAGTTCTTATATTTTTGAGGAAAGGGAAGAACAACATGGTTTTGCATATGCATCCTATATAATTAGTCCTATAATAAGTAACCTATTATTTATTAGCATTTGAATTATGAAATTTGATATAAAAAGGTTTTTAAGCAAGAAATTGCTTGTAAAACTCTTTGTATTTTAATGTTTTATTTAACAAATTTAACTTTATACAGAAGAATAAAAAAAGTTCCAATTCTTTACAGCATTAGTGTAATGGTAATTATTAGGTACTGCATATTTTGAGGTTTAAGTGTCATGTATATTTTGTATAATGTTCAGTCTGCTATATTGGGGATTGGGGCTAGTCAGATAAGATGTGTACTGGTAATGTTTTGTCTTTATGTTCAGGTCTATAGAGATTTTTTATCTCAATAGTCAGTACTTCACAAGTATCTGTGAGAGATGCCATCTATGAGAAGCTTGTGGCTGAATTTGTTGATACTGAACTTACAATTATTTAGAAATGGAGGGGCTGCATATCTTTATTCAGATATGGTATTTGTCAACCCTTTTGCCTTTTTTTTTTTTTTAACACAATGGCCATCTCCGACCAAGGCAGGCTAACCCAAAAGAAAGATAAAAAAAACATTCATTATCAGTCAACACTTTCACCATCACTCATACATAATCACTGTAGAGGGTCCCAGATATAACAATTTAGATAGTCACTCCAAACTGCCAATATTTCAAACCCCTCCTTTAAAGTGCAGGTATTGTACTTCCCATTTCCAGAACTCAAGTCCAGCTAACCGGTTTCCCAGAATCCCTTCAGAAAATATTACCCTGCTCACACTCCAACAGCTCGTCAGGTTCTAGACACCATTCGTCTCCATTCACTCCTATCTAACACTAACACACACTTGCTGGAAATCCAAGCCCATCGCCCACAAAACCTCCTTTACTCCCTCCCTCCAACCTTTTTAAGGATGACCCCTACCCCGTCCTCCTTCCCCTACAGATTTCTATGTCCTCCAAGCCATTCTACTTTGTTCCATTCTCTCTAAACGACCAACCCATCTTAACAACCCTTCTTCAACCCTCTGACTAATACTTTTAGTAACTCCACATCTCTTAATTTCCATACTCCGAATTCTCTGCATAATATTTACACCACACATTGCCCTTAGACAGGACATCACTGCCTCCTCGCTGCAGTATTTACAACCAAAGCTTCACACCCATATAAGTGTTGGTATCACTATACTTTCATACATTCCCTTCTTTGCCTCCATGGATAACATTTTTTGTCTCCACAGATACCTCAACGCACCACATACCTTTTTTCCTCCAATTCTATGGTTAACCTCATCCTTCATAAACCCATCCGCTGACAAGTCAACTTCAAAATATCTGAAAACATTCACTTCTTCCACACTCCCTCTCTCCAATGTGATATCCAATTTTTCTTTATCTAAATCATTTGATGTCCTCATCACCTTGCTCTTCATTCACTTTCACCTTTCTACCTTTACACACCCTCCCAAACTCATCCACTAACCTTTGTAATTTTCCTTTAGAATCTCCCAAAAGCACAGTATCATCAGCAAAGAGTAACTGTGTCAACTCCCATTTTGTATTTGATTCCCCATAATTTAATCCCACCCCTGTCCCCAACACCCTAGCATTTACTTCTTTTACAACCCCATCTATAAATACATTGTATATTAAACAACCATGGTGACATTACACATCCCTGTCTAAGACCTATTTACAAGGAAGTAATCTCCTTTCCTACACACCCTAACCTGAGCTTCACTATCCTCATAAAAACTTTTTACAGCATTTAGTAAATTACTACCTATTCCATACACTTGCAACATCTGCCACATTGCTCCCCTATCCACTCTATCATACCTTTTCTAAATCTATAAATGCAATGAAAACTTAACTACCTTTATCTAAATCCTGTTCAGTGTAAACACTTGCTCTACACATCCCCTACCAATTCTAAAGCCTCCTTGGTCATCTGCAATCCTGCTCTCTGTCTTACCTTTAATTCTTAAAATAATAACCCTACCATACACTTTTCCTGGAATACTTAGTAAACTTATTCCCCTATAATTTTTACAATCTCTTGTGTTCCCCCTTCTCTTTATATAAAGGAACTATACACGCTCTCTCCCAATCCCTAGGTACCTTCCCCTCTTTCATACATTTATTAAACAAAAATGCCAACCACTCCAACACTATATTCCTCCCTGCTTTTAACATTTCTGTCTTGATCCCATCAGTTCCAGCTGCCTTACCCCCTTTCATTCTGTAATGCCTCACGCACCTCCCCCACACTCGTATCCTGCTCTACTTCACTCCTAAGAGATGTTAAACCCCTCCCCCCTGGCCAGTGCATGAAATTACCGCCTCCCTTTCTTCATTGACATTTGAAAGTTCCCGCCAGCTACCCAATACCTCCAGCTCCCCATCTACTAACTCCCCTACTCTGTTTTTAACTGACAAACCATTTGTTCCCTAGGCTTTCTTAACTTGTTTATCTCCAAAATTTTTTCCTGTTCTCAGCAAAATTTCTTGCAGTGCCTCTCCCACTCTATCATTTGCTCTTCTTTTGCACTATCTCGCCACACTCTTCACCTTTCTTTTACTCTCCATATACTCTTCCCTTCTTATATCATGTCTGCTTTGTTCATGTCTCACTTTGTTCAAAACTCCTCATGCACTCGCTCAACATTTCCCAAAATCTCTCTCTCTCTCCTCTACACTTTTCTCTTCTCCAGGTGCATAAACACTTACTATAACCCACTTTTCACATCCAACCCTTATTTTACTCCACATAATCCTTGAATTTATACATTTATATTCCCTTTTTTCCTGCCATAACTTATCCTTCAACATTATTGCCACTTCTTCCTTTGCTCTAACTCTGTTAGAAACCCCGACCTAATCCCAATTATTTCTCCCAACCAAAACTCTCCTACCCCTTTCAGCTTTGTTTCACTCAATGCCAGGACATCCAGCTTCTTGTCATTCATAACATCCACAATCATTTCTTTCTTATCATTCGCACAACATCCACGTACATTCAAACATCCCACTTGACAGTTTTCTTCTTTTTCTTTTTAGTAAGCTATATGGGAAAAGGGGTCACTAGCCCATTGCTCCCGGCATTTTAGTCGACTTTTACAACACGCATGGCTTAGGGAGGAAAGATTCTTATTCCACTTCCCCATGGCTGTTATAAAAAAAATTTAAATGTAAATTATTGTTCTTAATACATATTTACAGTGCAGTATTCCCTACAAATTTGTGACACTAAATTCACAGATTTCTATTTGTGATTTGTAATTAATGGTCTTCAATTACTAAATTTGATAATTCATATTTGTAATGATATTCATTGTCTTTTGGCTTGATGTATGGCTCATATATTGCAAACCAACCATAGAATTTTGTTGAAAATGTGCTCACTTGGTTTCCCATAGTTAGTCTTTCTTCTTGTTCATTCCTCCATATTCTTTCTTAGAGTAATATTTGAAGAGATATAACCTCTAAAATATTATATGAGCCCAAATTTGTTACAACACTTATTACATCATTTGCTGTTAGTGGTATTCTGAACATAATCCCCCCATGCATTTTGAGGAGCACTGTATTTAAAAGTAAATATTAAAAAAATAAAAATAAATTTAAAAAAAAAAAATAGCAAAATGTAACAGTACTAGAAGGTACTAGCTAGCAAGCTTGGCTATCCTAGTTGTCCTTTTAGAAGTGCATCCCATCCCCCTCAGGCAAGGTATCTTGATGCAAGGGAGTTGCTGATGATCAAAGAAATTGAACCTAGCCTCACTTGGATTAAACATGGTTACCTCCAATTCCTTCTGGCACTGTATGACCTCTTTGGGTTTAATGTTTGTTAATGAATGTAATAATAACAGTAATAATAATTTGAATCAACAAACTGTAACATCACCACCCATCCTGCAAAGTGCAGGTACTGTACTTTGCTTCCCACTTCAGAACTAAAACCCATCTAACCAGTTTGCCTGAATCATTTGTAGCTATTACATTAAATTCTCAGGGGCTGTTATAATTGCTCTTTGCTGATGACAGTGCTTTTAAAGCAGTTTGAAAGAGAAGTTGCAAAGCATGGTGGAGGAGTTTGCAAGGGTGTTGAAAGGAAGTTGAAAGCACACTTAGAAAATAGAAAGATGATAAGAGGAAGAAAACATCTAGGCAGTGAGACATTGGATGTCATATTGAAGGCAAAAGGATGAAAAAGCAAATGTATTTATATATCTGGGAGTGGATGGATGTATGAAAGACAAGGCAAATCACAAAATAGATATGAGAAAAAAAAGTTTAGGAGTCTGTAGAAAGAAAAAACTTAAAAGTTGATTCAAAAAGAGGTAAAGTGGTGCTAACACTTTTAAGTGGGTGTGAGGTATGGTCTTTGAATGTTGTAGTGAGGAGGTTGAAGGCAGTGGAGATGTCATATTTGAGATCACTGTGAAGTGTGAAAATTATGCAGGGAATAAGTGAATAAATTAGAAAATGCTGTGGTACAGTAGTGTAAAATGTATAAGCCAGAGAACAAAGGAGGGGTTGTTGAGATGGTCTGATAATATTCTGTAAGAAAGGATAGAGTGAGATAGTTTTAAATGGTAAGGGCTTGAGCATCCAGTAGGCAGGTGTGTAGGAATCTTTTGGGATGTGACATGTTGTTGGAGTGTAAGTATAGTAACTTCACGATCAAAAAGCTTAGCTGGACTAGCCCTGGAGGTAGGAAGTATAGTGCATACACTCTGAATGATAAGTGAGTCATTTGAACAGTGATTTTCACATACTTATGGAAAGACCGAAAGAGAATGAATGATGGTGAATATGTTTAATCTTTAGTTTATCTTGCCTAAGCAGGAAAAATTCAGTTTTAAAAAAATTAGCACCTAATATGAGAGGATGGATTAGCATATGCAATCACAGATCAGCATTCATGAGCATAAAGCAAAACTCAGGAATATAAAGTTTACAACTGCAGAACTCAGATACTGATGGAGTACACTAAAATGTCTTGAAATGTTTAATATTTTAAGTTAACAAATTCTCCAGTCAAACATATTACATTTGGTATCAATGTATTACTGAAAAGAATTATACATGCAGAAGTCCACCCATCACCCTATTTTATCTACTAATACACAGTATTAGAAACTGCTGTCATTGTGCCCTATATTTATGTACCCAGTTATTTTTTTTTTTAAAGTATTGCCTATTACCAAACCTTTTTTTTTTTGCATACAATTCAATTAGGACCTAGTATTTGCTGCAGGGACATCTGATATAGGTGAAATAAAATATAAGTGCCTCACCATATGAGTGTAACTAGTGGAACTGAAGGTAAAAGGAATGGCAGGTAGAGAGCTTGAGAATCCAGACTTTTGAAGAGGGAGCTTCAAGGGGTTTAGAGAATTCCTAAACACAGGAAAGTCAGTGGATGAGATGGGGTACCTTCGTGTCCAGAAAATACGGAAACAGCCAAGACAAAGGGAGTCCTTGGTTCAGCCCTAGTGGCAAAAATGAGAAAGCATAAGTTTGAAAAACTACAGAAAGTGAAGATGACGAGAACAGAGAAGCAAGCAATTTAGCCATAAATGAATATGCTATGGTGAGGAGAAAGGCTGAGTGACAATTTGAGAATGGCAGCAGAGGACAAATCTTAATCCCTAAATGGTCCAAACGTATATATACGTTCTCTCGCCTAGCGCCCCGAATATTTTGAAAAAAATAAAGAGCACATTTTTTTGTGTTATAGGATTAAAAAAAATTAGGGTCAGTACTTACTGAGATATGAAGCTGCCACTTGGTGATCACCTGACAGCAACATGGAGTGCTGCTGCTTGTAGAAATTCTACATATTTACCATTTTTCCATTTTTTTAATTTTCCTGGTTTTTATGATATGATAATTGTTTTATAGTAAATCTTTTGATTTCAATGCCAATTGTTGTTTATACACCAATATTATGTACAAAATTATCATACTGTTATAAACACACATGTACACACTGATGTGTGATTTTGTGCACCTGGCTGGATCACATTATATTATCTACAACTATATACAAGTATTTACATGTCCCACTTATGTTTCTAGAATTCCACGATTGTATGATACTCCATGAAGCATGGATTCATACAGAGTGCCACTCCACACTAGTAACACATGAATCGTGTGTCCTTCCACTGTTGGGGTCATTTTGTGGTGGTAGCACACACAATTCTTCTTCTTTGGGGTAGTTGGTATTGGTACCAGGTAGTGACAGTTAGGGATGATTCAGTCTGGTACTTCCCCCACTGGTTGTGGTTGTGGGACAATTTGCTGTTGAGGGACAGGTACAGGTGTGGTACCATACTTTTTTGCTATCTGTTTTACAACATTCAGGGAGGATTCTGCAAAATGTTGTCGTTTTCCAGTCTTTATTTCATACATATTGAATGCATTGGGTACTGCAATGTGTACAAGGTGGAAAAACAGTTTTATATACCACTTGCGACTCCTACACACACAGTCAACGAACCCTATCATGTCACACTTGTCAACTAGTTGCATATTGTTTGTATAGTCCATGACAGCAGCTGGCTTGACAATACGTTCATTGGTGTCCTGGTTCACTTTGTACCATCTCTTTTCTGTGGATGGTTGACAGCACTGTCACGTTCCGTTTGTCATGCCACGTCAGTACCATGATGTCATTGGCATGAAATGCTTGCACTGCACTTTCAACACTGCCTCTACTGAACCTTGGCATATGTTTTATATTCCTTCTCACTGTTCCACATATATCAGTATTGTTCACACATAGGAAATCAGCGAGCATAGGGCTTGTATACCAATTGTCTGTGTACAATGTATGGCCCTTGCCAAGGTATGGTTCCATCATCCTGTGAACAACAACAGAAATGCCCAACATCCGTCTGTCATCATCGAGTGTGTTTCTCCCGGTGTATGCAGTGACATCCAACACAAGACCACTCTCACAATTACACATAGCAAAAAGTTTTATACCAAAGCGATTATGTTTGCTCGGTATATATTGCTTGAATGACAGGTGTCCCTTGAACAGAATCAAGAACTCATCAACAATGACGTTCTTGAAGGGATAAAAGTGATGTGGTCAAATCATATCTACTTTTAAATTAATCTAGTGCATAAAGTAAATTTGCATAGAATAAACCCACTAACATGTAACATACAGTAGGGCCTCACTTATACGGCAGGTTAGGTTCCAGGCCACCACCATAAAGTGGAACGCCCTTTTTTTTTCTACTTATAAATGCATATAAATACAGTGGAACCTTGACTTGGGAGTGTCCCACCATATGAGTTTTTTTGAGATACGAGCTGTCCCTGGGTCGATTTTTTGCTCTGTGTTACAAGCCAACATTTGAGTTACGAGCCAGCTCCCCCCACTCCCCCCTCAACCCAAAACCTGGACAACTCACTTGTTTATCTATGATTTCATGCTTTAATTCCATGGAAATGATTCTCCTCTTCTTCTCAGCACTGTCCTTTACACTTACTTTCTTAGGACCCATGCTTAGAAAAATGAAATTTGGCCAAATGACTGTCAAATATGTAAGCAAAGCATGAGAGAACTGCTCCCACAGCGAAGTAAACAGTGCAGAGTTGGCGGCGTTCATTATAATAATTATTATTATTAGTGTTATTAATTTAGGTAACTAAAGCACAGATCCAATTCTCTAGATCAAGAGCCCCTCACCAGCGTCAAGGTTCCTTGACGCTAATGAGGGGCTCTTGATCTAGGGAATTGGATCTGTCCTCTAGTTCCCTAAATTAATAATACAGTGGACCCCCCGTTTGCAATATTAATCCGTTCCTGAGAGCTTATCGAAAAGCGAATCAATTTTCTCCATAAGAAATAATGGAAATCAAATTAACCTATGCAAGACACACACAAGTATGAAAAAAAAAAATTTACCACATGAAATATTAAGTTTAATGCACACAAACTGAAGAAGACATGCACAGTTTGTAGTACTCTACTAACAATAGAATACATGACACTTACCTTTAATGAAGATCTGGTGATGATTGATGGGATGGGAGGAGGGGAGAGTGTCGAACTTATTGTTTAGAAGGGGAATCCCTTCCATTAGGACTTTTTGGTCCGAACTGGCAGCCTCACTATAACTAATCACACTATGTATGCCACTACGATTCTTAAATCTTTCAAACCAACCTTTGCTGGCATTAAATTCACTCACATTACCACTAGTTGCAGGCAATTTCTTTACCAAATTGTCATGCAACTGCCTAGCCTTTTCACAAATGATCGCTTGAGAGATGCTATCTCCTGCTATCTGTTTTTCATTTATCCACACCAATAACAGTCTCTCAACATCATCTAACACTTGCAGTTGCTGTTTCGTAATCACAGTTGCACCTTTTGCAACAACAGCTTCCTTGATTTCCGTTTTCCTGGTCACTATAGTAGCGATTGTTGATTGGGGTTTTGTATACAACCTGGCCAGCTCCAACACACGCACTCCACTTTCGTACTTTGCAGTTATCTCTTTCTTCATTTCAATAGTCATTAGCACCCTTTTTCTCGAAGGGTTGGCACTAGAAGCTTTCTTGGGGCCCATGGTGACTTATTTTGCAGAAACAAGCACCAAAAACACTGATAATATAGAATGTACCAAATGTATCCTTAGATGCGAGCACACTGGCTGGCTTGTAAACACTGGCACACACGGGGCAGTTCAGGCCACACATGGACACGTCTCGGATGAATTGCGTGTACCGGGTTTTTTAACGAGAACCGAGGCAAAATTTTTGCGTTAAAATGTATCGAATACCGGATTCATCGAATACCGATGCCATCGCAAACTGGGGGTCCACTGTAATTATAATAATGAAGTTTCAATTCCCTAAATTAATAATAATAACATATAATACGTACGTAATAATAATTCAGAATGCTGCCGCTAGTTGGCACAGCTGATGCCCAAACATCCGGTAAGCAGTCCACATGTTTACATCGCTGTAGGAGCAGTTTTCTCGTGCTTGTTTGCATTTTTACAGTCATTTGGCCAAATTTCTTTTTTCTAACCATGGGTCCTAAGAAAATGAGTGCAAAGAACAGTGCTGAGAAGAAAAAGACGATTTCCATGGACTTAACCAGGCAATACATCATATGCCACACCCTCAACATCTCCCACCCTCAGCATCCCTCACCCTCAAACCTCCCCCACCATCTCTGCTCCAAGTGTGTAAGTACATATAGACAGTTTTTATACAAAATTTCTTATTTATAAATACATTGTTTCAGCGTTTTCCTTAAAAAATTAGTGATCTACTGCAGTTAGCTCAAAAATACTTTGTTTTCTCTTACAGTAAGAGCATGGGAAGATACTAAAGTCAGATTGGGACAGGAACTGGCAGACACTTCCACCGCTGCCTCTGCCACCGTATTGTGGCCTATTTTATTCATGCTTTTGTGTTAATTATATTATTTACTATGTCATATTAGAGGAATTTTGATAGATAAGCCGTACAGTTGATAATAGCATCATATTCAAGTATTTTTTTCTTGTCTCCAGAGTGCAGGAACAGATTAATGGCTTTTCAATTAACCCTGATGTTGACAGGCTCTTTCCCAAACTTGTTCTCAGGGTTGAAAATTTAAAAAAAAAAAAAAAAAAATGAAATGACAGAGAATCT